GTGCAGTTTGAATTGGTTCATTTGAATCGCAAAGTTTGCCTGATCAGTGGTGGGATGTGTGAATGATGACTGAAGAAGAGACCTGCTCAAATTCAATGCATTGTTTCTATCGCAGTTTGAAATATCTCAAAGACCATACATTTCATTCAAGAGATTTTTGCATGAAGAAAATTCCTGGTGGCAAAGGCTGTCCAAGGAACTAATTTTTAGTTCTCAACTTACATTTTAAAGATGAGGAACTGCCCTTTCAATATCTAGGACCTTGTACCTCATTCATTCATTCTTTTATTCACGTAATAAAGGAAACTTCAGTTGTGACTAAGTGCTCAGTTATTTACACTGTAGGATTGTAGATAGTAGTGAGGGTCTCACAGCAATTATTAATCAATTGTGTCCCTTGATACTGGAAACATATTGCCTTAACCAAAGGGTGTACAGAACGTCAGTTTCAGGGGAAAGAAAAGATGTCTTCATTAGCCACTTTTTGTTCCAATGACAGAACAGTCCCTACTTGTCTAGAGAGGTATGACTCAATAAGAAACCATAAACCATTTAACAATCAATTGCTTCTGTGGATGGTTAAAGATAAAAACAGTAACTTCATTATTCTTTGCTTTTGACAAGACTTATTTGGTAGACTTTTTTTTTTTAAAGAAAATCTGATGTCTGAATGTAAAACAAGTCTTTGCATTGCCAATAGTGTATGCAATGACCATCTGTGACCTTCCACTTCCCTTGACTGATTCCTTCAGAGAGCAAAGCACCTTTTTTCTTCCCTTTATACACTTTTAGGGCATGTGTCTATCAGGTTTCTTGAGTTCTGGCTGTTTAGGAAACGTACACATTCTTGTCAGTCTCCCAACACCTTGAGAGATCATCCCCCTTAATCACCTTGATGAGGTAAGGTCCGGGCCTGCTTAAATATCAGATTTACTCTGGGAATTACTGTAGATTTTACCTCAGACTTATACCTACCTTTTTGATATTTTTGTAACTCCTAGACTAATATGGGTGCTTGAAATTTGACTTTGTATCTTGCTTCAGTAATTTATCCCTAGAGAAGTACTATTTAATTTATATTTTCTTTATGGGTATATGCTCTTCTGTTTGTACAACAAACGCTTCCTTATCAGATCTTCTTCCTATGTTTATAACTTTTATTACACAAGTAGTATTTGTTTAACTAAGAAAAATTAGAAATAAGTAAAAAAATAATAAAACACTCAAGTCCCTCCTGCTATAATCAGTTAGATTTTTGGCATGTCATTCCAGTTTCTCTCTTTGTATGTAAGCTATTATTTTTCAAAAAGATCATGCTTTAGTAAGTATAGGTCTCTATTTTTAACTCATGCATAATACCTCATGTTGTGGAAATATTGTAAATTATTTAACTAATCTATTCATGGATATTTGGAATATTTATCGGTTTATTTAAAAATGCTGCAATTAACGTATTTATACATGTCTTTGCTCACTTTTATGAATTTTTCTGTAGGATATTGATCTACTATCATTTGAAAGTATGGACATTTGTTTTTTAATAGACATTGGCAAGTGACCATTAAAAGGGGCTATACCCAATTATCCCCTTCGACTGCCAATAGTATATGAAATTGCCTATTTTCTGCAACACTGGTTTTCAAATTTGACTGCACAGAATTGCCTAGGGAGCTTTTTAAAAACGTTCAAGGCCCAAGTTCCTCTCCAGATTAATTAAATCAGCATCTCTGGGAGCAGGAGCCTAGGCATTCATATTTTCTAAAAACTCTCCAGATGATTACAAGGCAACCAGGGTTGGGAATCAATGTTGAACACCTTCACCAATGAAAAATGTTTTACTTAGACCTAGAAATTCTACTTCTTGGAATTTTTCTAGAGGAACACATGCACAAATGAGTGTGTGTACACTCCAGGGCTCTGGTTTTGGCAGAAAGAAGATAAAGCAAGGGAGTTGAGAACCCTGGCATTAAATCACAGAAAATAATGAATTTGGGACTTGTATTCAATACTACTACTTACTCTGGCCTGCCATGTGTGTGACGTACTTCTTCGAAAGCGGACTTCATGTAAGTGCTCAGACCATATATTTCAAAGTATTACATAGAGCCTTTAATAAATTATGCAAAGCATGAGCACAGGGGAATCTTTGGGTACCATGAATAAATTTCCTTCAACTGCAAGAACTTAGTAGACACTAACACTGTCAGTGTTACCAATATGCAGAAAGGCAATTCAATCATTAGATGCCAGATTCTTTTAAAAGACAGATGGATGGACGTCTATAGAAGTGGTCTCAACAATTTCTAACTGGGGAAACCTTTTCCCAAACACACTCTTAATCATAACCCCAAAGTGAAGTTTGCAGGTGGTATAGAGCACACAGATCCAACCCACTCACCCTCCCTCTGAACCTTTGCAGTGCCTTCTGAAGCATTTTCAGGTAATCCTAGAACTGTCCCCGGTTAGAGCATCCCACTGGTATGCTGGAAATGGGTTACAGGTGTGCCAGAGACACTGCTTCCCTCAGTCCACAGAGTGGTTGCAGCACGGAATGGGGCAGCTGGAGTCACTGGGGCTGATGGCTTTAATGGAGAACAGATGGGTCTGTTTATCCCAGTACGAATATTATCATTTTCTGTGTGTGCCATGACATGATAAAGATTAGGAAGCACTGATCTAGACAACAGAAGTATTCAGTATATAGCCACAGCTATAAAATAATGGTCCTGGTGTCCTTGTGTTACTCACAAACTGGTTCTGAAGGCAGTTCCAATGTTTCAAAGAATTAGAGCATAAATGTATGGCTTTCCATGGGGGCCACTGTAAAGGATAGTATTTATATGCACTTAGTATTAGTATTTATATGCATTTTGACATTTGTTAATGAGTGCAATCGATATCATACTGTCATACTGTCTAGAATCAAGACAGTTCTAACAAAAGATTAATGCTTTGTATTCTTAAACCAAAACAGCACAGCTATACATAAAAGTTACATAATATAGCATGGGCCTAGTGGAGCATACTCTCTCCAATGCAATATTCATCTTCTATTTTCACATTAAAATGACATTCCATCACCAAGGAGCAGAGGGAATAGCACTTTCTTGATTCAAAGCAAAGCACCTGGAAACATACTATTGTTTTCTGGATCATTATTGCCTCTGACCATTGCTAACACACTAGACATTTTGTCTATTCCTGACATATTTTCAGGCTTTCCCCAAAGTACCTAACTGGGCTGTGGGGAGAAGAGTAGCAAGAGTCTCCCCTTCCCACATGGAGGATTAACAACTTCTGGAGAAGTTCCAATCCTATAATAAGTCATTTCTAAATCTCTCTTATTGAAGCACCCCATGATTCTCTACAGTGTGTGTTTTCCTTCTCTGCAACCCAACTTGTTCAAATACAGGCATGTCCCTGGTGGTTTGTGGCTGAAGGGCATTGGCATTTATGATCTTTGACAAAGCAGTTCCACTTCAAGGAATTTTTCATACAGAAATATTCAAACAGGCATGAATAAACAAGGATGCATCAATTTCCACAGGAAAAAGAATATAAGAATATGCCAAAGAATATGAAAGAACACATTAAAAAGTATGTTGCATGAAAACTACAAAATGCTGCTGTGAGCAATTAAAGGAGACCTAAATAAGTAGAAAGACAGATTTTATTCATGTGTCAGAAGATTCAATATTCTTAAGGTGTCAAGTGTTCCTCAATTGATCTATTGATTCAAAGCTGCCCCAATCAAAATCCTAGCTGCAGTTTTCGTGGATATTAACAACCTGATTCTAAAATTCATATGGAAAAGCAAGAGTAAGAATAACCAAAATAACTTTGGAAAATAATAAAGTTAGAGGACTAACACTGCCCGATTTAAAGACATTATAAAGCTATAGTAATCAAGACAGTGTGGTATTATAATTAAGATACACAAGTAGGGGCTGTCCCCGTGGCCGAGTGGTTAAGTTTGCATGCTCCGCTGCAGGCGGCCCAGTGTTTCGTTGGTTGGAATCCTGGTCGCAGACATGGCACTGCTCATCAAACCATGCTGAGGCAGCGTCCCACATGCCACAACTAGAAGGACTCACAACGAAGAGTATACAACTATGTACCGAGGGGCTTTGGGGAGAAAAAGGAAAAAAAAATAAATAATAAATAAATAAATAAATAAATAAAAAAGATACACAAGTAGATCAATGCAACAGAATAAAGACTCCAGAAACAGACCCATACATACAGGGACAACTGATTTTTGACAAAGACTCAAAAGCAACCCAGTGGGGAAAGAAGAGTCTTTTAACCAAGTGTTGCTGGAACAACTGGATATCACTATGCCAAAAAATCAACCTCAAACAATAACTTGTACCATACATAAAAAACTCAAAATGGATCACAGACCTAAATGTGGAACCTAATACTATAAAACTTTTAGAATATAAAATAAAGTCTTTGGACCTTGGTTAGGCAACAATTTCTTATATATAACACCAAAACATAACTGGTAAAAGAAGTGTTCTGCATCAAAATTAAAAACTTCTGCTGTTCACAAGACCTTTTTAAGAGAATAAAATACTTACACATACTTCACGCAAGATATATGGATGGAAAATATGTGTATGAAAAGATGTTCAACATCATTAGTCATTAGAGAAATGCAAATTAGAATTATAATGAGATATGGATAAAATTCAAAAGATCAACCATACCAAATGTTGGCAAGGATGTGAAGAAATCAGAACACTCATACACTGCTGTGGGAATGTAAAATGGTACAACTACTTTGGAAAATGTAAAAGTTAAGCACATACTTACCATATGATCCAGCCATTCTACTCCTAGGTATTCACCTAAGAGAAAAGCAAAGCATACATCCATAGACAGTTGTACATGAATGCTCATAGCAGCTTTATTTGTAATAGCCTAAATCTGGAAACCAAACAAATTCCTATCAACAGGTGAATGGATAAACAAATTGTGGTATAACCATACAGTTAAATGCTACTTGGCAACAAAAAGCAAAGAATTATTTATACACACAACATGAACGGATCTCAAATAATTATGTTGAGTCAAAGAAGCCAGACCCCTCTTCTCCCCCGCCAAAAGAATACATGCTGTATGATTTGTTTTATATAAATTACAGAAAATGAAAATGATCCTATATTGTCACACGCAGATCAGTGGTTGTCTGGGGGTGGGGAGACACAGGGAGAGGTGGGAGGGAGGGTTTACAAAGGGGCATGAAAAAACTTTTGAGGATGATGGATATGTTCACTATCTTGATTGTGGTGATGGTTTCATGTATGTATACATATGCCAAAACTTATCAAATTGTCTACTTTAAATATGTACAGTTTAATATATTCCAATTATATCTCAATAAAGCTATTAAAAAGCACATGGCAGATGTGTATAATACTAAATTGGAAAGATAATTGGAAAGATGAAAAGGCAAGTTGCAGAATACTACAGTCCTATTGTTGCAAAAGAATAAATTTGTGCACATTGTTGATTAATAGAATATGCAATGAAAGATTAGTGCACTATGCACCAACTGTGAACACAGGAAAAACATTAAGTGACTCAAAAATATGCTGCAGAAGTGTATTTATTGACATGGAAAGACATTCACAATATACAGTTAGGGGAAAAGTAAGTTACAAATAACATTTATAGTATAATCTTGTTTTAGTTTCTTAACTGTTTAAAAATCTCAAAAGTATATAACCCAAAATTTTCACACACTGAGACATTCTCTTCAGCTCAGACAAGGGGTTGTAATTCCTATCATGAGTCTTAGAGAACCACAGTCATAGCCTAAAAGTCCTGGCAATGCTCTCTGGACCATAAAGACTTCCAGGAATCACTATCATGTACGTTGAGGCAGCAGCTTCTCTTCTGGGTTTCCTGTTCTGTGTTGATGAAGCTGAAGCTTTGGTCTAAATTTCTCCAGTTAAGTTTATCCTCTATAGGTTTAGCCAGTACAAATGCACAAAGTGGGCTTGCCTACTCGTAAATGGAGCCCTTTGGCCTTTCATATGACACATAGGAGAATAAACTATAAACGGTAAAAAAAAAAAAAAATTAAGGTATGATTTTGCAAGGAGGAAGAAAGCAATTATCTTTTTAAATGTAATGTATGAAACAGTGCACAGAATTGATTACAGTTCTTTGGAGGAAAAAGTACATACGGATTGAAAAAGATAGGATATATAGCAAATTTTATTTACTGATGACTCCAAATCTACATCTTACTCATTCAACAGTTTTGGTCATCTGCTGTTTCCCAGACACTGCCAGTTGAAATCCACACACCCATCTGACTTTTCTCTTGACTCCCAGCCAATATAGCCAAATGCCTAATGGATATGTGCATTTGGAGGAAGTTAAGAATTGCAAGACTGGCAGACATTATCTACAGCAAAACTGAATCATTAAAACCAGTCTCCAAGCCTTGAGGGCCACTACCTAAAGAAGTGAAAGAGGACTGTAAGGTAGTGTGGTGATAACGAGTTGTGGTTATCAGAAAAACATGGTATCAGACAAAACAGCTATGCCATTTGCCTGCTGTGGGAATCTAGGAAAAGTATTTAACCTCCCTAATTCTCATTGGAGTTGACTGAAAATAATGAGTTATAATAATAAAAAAATACCAGTACCTAGCTCACAGTACCATCGTGAGAAGAGGAAAAGATCCTGTAAAACATAGTGCCAACACAGTATGTGACACAGGAGTAGGTACTCGGGAAATGTTTCCTCTCTATACCTACACCTCCTTTCTCTTCTGTGAGATGACTTTGACATAAATGAAATAGCCTAACAGCATGAGTGTTATAAACGTAGCCATAAAATTTAAAAAATGAATATTACATTTTATCTCAGATTCAGGGCCATTTCTGTGTTGTAAAATGAGTTATCTGATACAGGCAGAATCCAGGAAAAACAGTAATTCCTCTTACATTAAACAATCTATAGCAAGCCCTGCCTTCTTTACGTATTGAGTGCATATTTGGCAATGAGTGTGAGTGTGCGTGTCTGTGTATGAATGTATGTATTATTAATTCTCTTTTTGTGTGTATATGCCTTATTTCTGCAATTAGATTCTAAATTCAAGATATTTTCTTTTTTGCCTCTTGAAGCTACACATGGATCTAAACAGATACTAATGAACAAGTTAGCGTACTGACAATGAACTGGTTCACTACCTTAAGTAAAATGTTAAAAAGCTCCCCATCTACACAACATAAAAATCAATAGCTGTTTTCAGCTCATGGTGTAATATTCATTTGATACTCCAAAAATGGCTAAGCTCAAACCTAGAGATAGTCACAGGTAATATCATCTTAAAGATGTAATTTGTAACATGCACACTGTGATAACCAAAATGTTATGCACAGCTCTGGGAAGAACTAGCTTATTAGAATTTGGAGATTATTAAAAGTATTCTCTTTTATTTCTGGTTCATTTTACATTGTTTCAATAATCACTTTAACTTCACGGAAAATGGCCATGAGTGTATTATAACTCAAGTGATCGACAACTACAATTGAGCCCTTTCTGATATGCTCCTTTATGTTAATAAATATGGCCACGGCACTAACAAGATTGGCTTTTGCCTCTTTCTGGTTAAAGATGAGCTTTAATGCTGCTAACGCCTTTGAATTGATCATGTCTCTGGCTGCAGTTGGATTTTCAGACATGTTCAAAAGCACTTTCAAAACCAGATTTCTGGTTTTACGATTTCCCAGGGATAGCAAATGGAAAAGCTCTGAAAAGTAATTGGCAACAATGTAGTGATGGTCAGAATCAGTAGTCAGTTCCCCTAGTATCTTTAATCCAGATTGTTGTCCAGGTGAATTCAAAGGAAAAGATATGGTTTCCTTACACATATGCTTAACATGTAATTCAATCTTGCGTTGTCTTTCATCCCCAGAACGGGGATTCAGAGTAATTACAGCCTTTTTTCTTATTTCAGAGGATGGAAAACTGAGCAAGCTTTCAATAAGCGTCACTACACCCACCTCGTTAATGAACTCCTGGGCAAATGGATGAACATTAATGATCCCCATTGCAATTTGAGCTATTTTATGAATGAGAGGATCAGTAGTTGACTTCAGTAAGTTAACGAGTTTTTCAAATTCCTCAGAATCCATGTAACATTCCATTTTGCAAGGGCAAGCAAATGGCTTAATCCCATTCACCTCCCTGATCCTGATTTGACGTCTAATCTCCTCTATGGTCTGGATGCAAGGGTCAGAACCAAATGGATACTCAGGGATAGGCTGTGAGCATGAGGGAGTGCTCCTAGAAGGGCTTGCTGTTGCCACAGGCAAAGAATGGGCATTTTCCTCAGCTGAGGCCAGGACAATATATGAAGGAGGCTTTGTCTCAAATGGGGCTTGGGATCTAAATCCTAACACTGCTGGAGTTACAGCAGGGGCTTTGGGCCAGATAGTTACCTCAGACCAGTCCTTGGGCCTACTTTTTTCATTAATTTCATCCACAGGCTGAGGCCTAACTATCCTGCTCACAGGTCTAGGATTAGGGTCAAAACTAGTTTCATCTCCATCCCAAAACCAGTTCCCAATAACATTCTCTTCTTCCTCCTCCTCAGCCCCTGGCCTAGCCTTGCAGCTGGCCCGACCCACAGGCTCCAACTTCTCAGCACAGGACAGGGGACCACTATCAGCTTTATCTTCATCCTTAGCACTAGAATGATTACCCGCCTCTTCGCCATTCCAGAACCAGGAACCAACACTGCCCTCTTCCCCAGCCCAGAACCAGGCATCAATACCAGCCTTATTTTTACATGGGGACCTGGACTCAGCACTAGCCTCAGCCACAGAACAAAACTGAGATACTCTAGTGGCCTCACTTTCAGCTTTGGGACTAAAATCTGCTAGGGCCCCTTTCTTCGTCTTAGTAACAATTCTGATCTTAGACACTGCTTTTGTCTCTGCCACTGCATCTGCCTGAGACCGTGTCTTGGCTATTGCTTTGGCTTGGGTCTTGGCTACAGATTTGACTATGCCAGAAACCTCCCTCTTTGCTTCAGCTGCTATACCAGCCCTTTTTTCAGTTTTGGCCTTGTTTCTACTCTCATTCTTAGCCCCAGCCATGACTGAAGTCCAGTTATATAGATAGCCCTATACAGTCTTGGTCTTGGTTCTCAACGTGCCCCAGGTCCACGTCTTAACACACTTTCACGGATCAGAGAGAAACTTTGTAGCAAGAGTTGAGAGTCTACTGTCAGTTCAGCACTCATACAATCTCCTTTTCAAAAAGACAACCTCTGTCAATGACATAGACAGAGGGCAGAGACACTCAGGCTGAGGGAAGATGATGGCTCCTGAGTGCAGACCTGTTGAAGGTGATGATCTTCTGCCACTCCAAGGCCACCACAGCCACCAATGGAGATGGACCTGGGGTGGAAGGAAATGGGCTTTGAGTCTCTTCCAACTGTGCTTCTCTATGCAGACAGCCACACAGGATAGAAGAAAGTAGAGATGAATTGTGTGGTAGGAGAAGTAGAATAGTAGCAAACTCTGTTATCTCATTTTATCTTTTCCACACTCCCACTAATGCTCAACAGTGTCCTACCCAGGCACTACCACACTCTTTCTACATCAAATAGGAGCAGAAATGATGAGAAAGCTTGCTGAAAGTCAGAGAGGCTAAGGAGTGTCCAGTCCCTTTGGTACACACTACTATTCTCTACAGGTCTATCCAGGTAGGCCTCACACCAACCTGCATTGATCTGGTGCAATTTTCTCCTCCCTCCTTGCTTCCAGTTTTCTTAAGCCCTACAGCCAACTCACAGGCAGACCTATGGACAAAAAATACAGGAGGGGCTGGAATTTTGAGTATTTGGCACACAGACACGCACTCTGGTTTCTAAACCCAATACCTGCCATTCCACATCTAGAGCTTCGGTAATATAACCTTTCTGGCCTCCTTGGTCCTCCTCATGGGTCGTCCCCCGCTACACACACAATTCCTGGGTATCTATCAATTACCCAATAGGCACAATCCTGGTTCACTCCATCCCCATTTCCTATACACAAATGTGAGGGCAGAGGTGTCTGCAAAGTTGGAAGACAATGGCTCCAAGATATGATCTGGTCTCACCCACTTGCAAACACCCAATTCCCATCCCCAATCAATAGGCGTGCTCATCTTCACACTCACCTTGGATCCAAATGAATAGTTTTCGTTCTCTTTCTTAATTAAATTCAAAGTAAACAGCTACCTACAGATTTCTACAGAAACCTATAAAGGAAAAAAACCTATGGACAGACAAAAAGGCAGAGAAGAGAACACAGAAGACATTAAGTTGGCCCAACACCCATGACAAGCGTTATAACATAGGCTTTTGTATATTCAAGGCCGTGTTAAACGTCTCCCACCTGTCTGCTCCTCCCAAATGATTTCCCATTCCTTTCCCCAAGACCTGCAGCTTATCTAATTAGACCTCTTCCCAACTCTGAAGTTAGTCCTTTTCCCAGCAGAGGCCACAACTCTTTCCCTGAACAAAAATACCAGGCACAAGAGTGGGTATTGGAACACAGGCAACTGTATTCAGAAACCACGTATCGAAGATAATAGGGACTATTACTTCAATACCATCTTTGCACGCCCCTGCCCATTCCCCTTCCCTGCATACATAGATCCTACCTCATTCACCACTTATGCCAGCCAGCCCACACACAGCAGGGGTCCTCAGGAGATGCTATCCTTCCCACCAAAGAACAGTCCTCTAGCCAGAAAAGAGTCCCGCCCTACAGAAAGAGGGAGGGACATTCAGCAAGACACCCAGAGAATATGTTGACAATGGTAGAAAAATATCAGGTTAATGGACAGATAACCAGAATTCAGGGTCTAACTACTCCTTTTCAAAAATCAGGAAATGAGTAAATAAAAGTCTTTCAACTCCCATAGTTCCTCAGGTAGTCACCCTCAGGAATTCCACAAAATCTGTGGGATTGCTTCTACACCAAAATGAGAGGGGCTGTGAGAGGTGGACAGAGATGGAGTTTGGGTCTCCAGAACCAAAAACTGAAGAAACAGACTGACTTCACGCCTTCTAAATTCATCCTTCAGAAAACTTTCCCCCTTATTCTGAACAGCCCTTCCCACACCTCAACATATTAAAGGGGGCTGGGTGTTGAGAAAACAGATCCCTAATGAGAAAGGGGAATTAACTACACTATTTACATGCATCCTTCCTGTAAAAGTCAATCGACTCTTCAGCCTGTCAGTGGCTAGCATTAACTGAGTGCAAAACCTACACATGGAAGGCAATAAAACTGTGGTATTCAGAGGCAAACAGATATTCCATTTTGGTCTCTTCACAGTCTACCCACTCAGGTCCCCTTTAGCTGAAGTCGCCAGACCTACCGCGCAGACAGGAGACTTCGGCATTAACAAGCCGCCAGTGGGAAGCGACAGCACCCCGGACGCGGGGCCCCACGGCCCCTTTCCACAATCCGGGCCCGGAGGACCCAGCGCCACTGGCCCGCTCCCGCCGGCCCGGCGCCGAGCTCGCGCGCCCCCCACCCCGGCCCCGCGGCCTCCCCGCGCCCCCCGCCCCCGT